ATTTAAGAGCTAACTTCCAAGTTAAACTTCTGAACTTGCCCAACTTCTGTTAGGGATTAAATGAATATGAAGCTCCAGCCTGGGAGAACAAGCAAGTGCAGTGTTTCTATTTCTCTCATGATCAAGAAGACTTTAGCCTTATAATCTTATTTAAAGTGTCACCCTTGATCAACCATGTGCTTAACAGGATCACCACTCTCTAGATTCAAGATCAAGTAGCACACAACAAATTTACTGCATTGCTAGTCTCTCATGACTAACAATCTACCCTCTTCAAATGCAGGATATGATCAGCAAAGTCAAAAGCACTACCAAAAAAAGAAGACAAAGAGTAACCTTCTGTAAAAGCTATATATTTAAATGTAATGCTCAAAGCAGTCCTTAAAAAAGAAACACCATAGCTTCATAACCAGTAAATGAAGAAAATCAAGGCAATGGAATCCAGTTTTATAAAGACCTAATTAGGGTGGCCAGCAGGGTTGTTTGGCTTACCTCTGTGATTTTTTGAGTGTTTTCTGCATTTATAGAAAGGCCCATAATGAATATGAAATAGTGAAGAATAATATTTTTTAGGAGAATGATTCATAGCTTTTTAATACTGAAAACTCCATAAGCTGCTCAATACCAGAACTTCCAAGGAACCTTCTTCTATATTTAGTATCTCTGTATGTCCTTGATAGATTATTTGCTCCTGACTACGCCGAAAAAAGGGGTAATGTATGAAGGTGGGATTATTCCTTTCTTAATGCTCCACTCCTCTGTATTAATAGATCTTACTCATGATAACTTTATTTTTTAGTGAATCCTTTTGTAAATTTCACATCCAGTAAATTTTCAACATGGAATAATATTTCCAGCTGAAAAACTGATTACTTTTCCTCATAGTGGGAAGAGAAAAAATTTCATAAGAATGGTGGCAGGTTATCCTGGATGATGGAAAGGGTTAGGCATTGGTTACAATAAATCTCAGCACATTTTTTAGTTATATCTTGCTTAAATATGCATATGTATATTACTTTAAAAGACTCTAAAGAACTTAGAATGAAGAATGTAAAGGCTGAGTTTGAAATATATTGCAGAGCATCTTTATAGCCTTTATGGCATTATTGCATCAGAATGTGTGAAAGGTGCAAAATGTACATGAACCAGGCAGAACTACAAAACTCTCAAAAGTTACATCCTGAGGCATGTAGCTCCAACACCACTTGACACGGAGTAAGTGTAAAAACAACCGTTTTACAGTAGACCTTATTAACTACGTGTAAAGATTTTAAGAGCTATTGTGTGCAAATAACAACCTTATGATTAGATTACTTGAAGATGCATTAAAAAAAAAAAATAGATACTAAAATATGGAGGAATTACTCTACCAGGGATGCATAATTGAAATTGCAGGAGGCTTAAAATGGTAGCTTTCAATTTGTCTTTCCATTTGTCTCAGGAAAGTCTGCTATATATGCTTATGTCCATGTCAGTAGTGTTAACTTCAAGCTTTCAAAATTCATGAGTCAGCCCAAAGGAAGTTTTATCATTTGCCTAAAAATCATTAGGTTAAATAAAGGTGAGTGGCTCATCCATTCTTTTCCATCTCTCCCTCTGTAAACTGCCTGGCTCATTTGTTTTCAGCAACTTTTTTCTTAACTCTGGAGACCAGAAAGTTGTGCATATTTCAAATGAAACCTAGGAAATCTCTTGGCAGCCCATTAAGCTTCAGGCACAGGAATCAGGGAAAAACAATATACACTGCAGTCTCTGTGATTAAAACAGTTTCTATCTCAATTTTGATATTACAGGAGTCTGAAAATCTCATGACTCTGAGTATTCAGTTTGGTATAATGAATTAAGGGCCTTTGGCCCAACACTCTATTTCCCCTTTTAAAAAAAAAGTGTCAGGATAGTACCTGAATTTTAGAAAGACCTTCTAAAGTCACAGAGGAATATGTTTCACTTAGAACATCTGCAGTTACTCTCACTCATTTCTCAGTTTTGGTGTAGAAAATAGGGAATTATGGTAGATTTTGTGAATATTCCTCCATCTCTTAACTTTTCTGTTATCCACATTTTCATCAACATATTCAAAAAGAGCTAGTAAGTTGAGTTCAGCCTAGACATCACAGAAATTGTGACTGCCATAACTAGCTGGATAAAAACATAAAAAGCCCAGAAAGTTACCTCTGTTAGATAGTAAAAAGATTTCTAAAGGTCTGGAATGAGATATATTTGAGGAGAATATATTTGAATAAATGTGTCCTATCATTAGTAGTTAAAGAATTTTTCTATCTTTTATCTTGATTATTTTAAAAAATTGAAATTGCAGAGGGACCATCTGGGGTCTCTATTCCTGCAGGTTTTTACTTTTTACCTGTGAACAGTACTATATTCCTTCATCAAATGAACTTTGTTAGGAGTTTTCATTCATCATAGACTTGCTGTTGAATGGGTCAATGCCCTGGATTTTCTTAACAAAATTTGCTCCAGGAAAATAAATAGAAAAGCTTCCAGCAATGCAGAACAGAATTGATTTGGATGCCCCTTGGGTAATCCCTATGGGACACTCTGAGGGTGCTGAGAGGTCTGGTTACTGACATCATGAGGATGATCTCAACTATTTTTGAAAGATGGTTGAGATCAGGGAATTTTCCAGTGGTCAAAAAAAAGATGTTCTTCCCATATTCATGAAAAGGCCCAAAATGTAATCAAAGGAAGTCCTGTCCAGTCAACATCACCTCAGGCCCTGGAGAAAACTTCTAGCAAGTCCTCTTGGCAGCCACTTCTGGATTCATGAAGTAGAGGAAGGTGATTGGGAATATCTAGCAGTAATTAAAGCAGAAGAACCACACTGACCAAGCTGATGACTGTCTTGTATGATTAAATTAGTAGATCTGAGAATTACTCTAAGGCAGCAGATATTGGCTATTTTGGTTTTAGTACAGTTTTAGACACAGTATCTAAGTCAGGACATTATGGTCTAGGTGAGTGAACTACCAGATGTCTGGATTGTCAACCTCTACAGTGAGCAGTTTGAGGTTGGTACTCTACCTGCAGGCTGACTACAGGTGGAGCACAGAGGGTCTGTATTGGGACTGTTCCTTCCAACCATAATGATTTTATGGTTGCTATTAAATTTGCTTTCTAACCAACATTAAACAAAATTTCCTAGGTCAATGGCAATGCTTGTTTGGTTGGAGAAAGTGTGGCAAAATTAGAGACTGAATATATCAAAGACAATGGAAATCTAGAACTCTCTAGATCTTGATCCTTCAAGATTCAAATGCTTTTTTGATTTTCAGATAAAAAAGTGGGTTATCAACCATTTAAAAATAAGTATTTTGTCCAAAATTGGAATAAAACATTTATGTGTCTCAAGGCAAGTAAGTTTTACCAGCTTTATGAAAATTAGAAATATTTTTTATTTGCTAGTGAACTGAAAAAAACCAATTATTTACACATATTTCCTAAAGAAATATTTGTTTCGGTCTGTGACTTGGCTTATCTCTTCATTGTTCCAAGAGTTTATGATGGGGTTTATTTTCTATGCTGCAGGGAAGTGATATGGTACTTAAAATTGTGAAATTAGAAGGGGGAGCCAAAGTGTCACTAAAATACCTTGTTCACTTCTTCCTCTGTTGCTGCGATAGGTTTATGCATGTGGGTGGATGCATATGTAAACAAATAAGAGTGTTTTCTTATTTCTTCCTCTCCTTTGTCAGCCTGTTAACGGAAGTATGACAATACATTCACTTTGAAAAATCAAACGCAAATGGATTACTTTCAGCTCAAAGTATAACTCCAGTTCCTAGCTCTTGTGAGATAAAGCGGAAATTTCCAGACTGATGTTTCTACAGGACAGGAAGAATCCTGCCTCTTCATGTTAAACAAAAAGTAATCCTAAAAGTAAATCAGTCTCAAGAAGCAGGTCTCAAGAAACAATGGTCTGAGCAGTTACTATGATTTGAAACTCTGATGAATGAGAGAAGAAGCAGAACAGAAACCCAAAATTCTCTCTTTTTTTCTGGAAAAAAAATGTAGCAAAAAAGGAAATGTGACAAGGTGGACAAATGAATGGAGTCTAACATCTTGTTCATCTAAATGTCTAGAAAATTTCAATCACAACCATATTCAGGATGTGTGCCTCTCTCCCAAAGCTAATTTTTCCAGTAAAACAAGCATGTAGAAATCATCAGCGGGACAATTTTATACCTTCATACAAGAACACCATAGTGAGGCCTTTGCACAAATTGCTCTGAAAAATATTAGTCAAGAGAGAAGAATGATGACTGCTTAAGAGTAATAGTTTTGATGTACCATCTGGAAAAGGAAATTTTGAAAAAAGGAGGAAAAGGACCATGAAAACTATTCTTGTCACAACAGTTTAAATACAAACTCAATTCTTTCAGAAAGTATATTCACATTTAAGTTCCATGAGGCTGATTTCTATTCCCAGAAATATTTCCTTTACCCCTAAGACACCTTATATGAATCAAGGACAAAAGACTTTTTTTACAAGTGAAAATTAGAGGAACAACTTCTACAGCAACATCAGCAAGAAACTTAAATGCACATTCAAAGAACAAGTGAAAACCCTAATTGTGAAACTCATGAAGTGACAACTTTGAGATGTAGATCAATCAAAGGCAGGATTGATACAAGGGCAGTTATAGATTCCTCCATCTTCATTCACTGGACAATATGTATATACTGCATTTTGCTGCTGTTGTTTCTAAGCCAAGGACTATTATGATTCATTGGCAGAAGCTACACTGTGTCAGCTGAAATGGAGTCTTTATCTGCAGGTAGAAACTGCATCATGTTTCTCTTAGCAGAAATCTCTCCATGCATATCTGACAGGTTATTCTGCAACCATATCCTTAAAAATTTAAAAAAAAAAAAATAAAAATTAATGTTTCTTACTGAGACAGCCACACTCTATTTTCTGGAATATATATAAGAGTTATTAGAATGCTAGTAATTTTTTTCCTATTAGGAGGATCTCAAAATACCTTGGCGTAGATTGATCCTTCACTGATTTCTTCTGACTTGTCAGGAAGGCCAAGTGTGTTTCCTGTCACTGGTAGCTGATGTAGGATGCCACTGTAGCTGAAGGAAGAATTACAAGAAATTCAGACCAGCTTTCTAAAACTGCATACAGCAAACACACCCAGGTTATATGTTTAACCCTGTAACTCAAAATAGCAAGCAGGCAGTGAGAGATTAAATAAGATTAAGGGATGGCAGCATTAGCTAACCTATTGCTGTTGGTGGGAGGTGAGAGGCAGGGGAATCTGCTGTAGCAGCCAAACACATCTCCAGTGTCGTCTGCTAGGTATGCAGATATTTCAGATTACAAGGTGGAGAGAGGTGTTCTATATCAGGGTCCTCTTATAGAGGTATATGTTTTGTGGAGGAACGACTGCTGAAAAAAGGACCATGGACAAATATGCAAATAGGTACTCCTTCTATTTCTCCTCTCTGATTTCTTCTCTTGTGATACCTGGGAGTCATCACCAAGTTCTGTATTTTCATATGGCAAAATCATAAGCAGTGTCAGCTTGGCTTGATGTTAATGGACCACTTACTGTGAGCATCACAGGTAGCTGTAAGGAGTATGTATTTTTACTCATTATTTGAATCTAACCTAGACTTCATAGTGCCATAGTGATAATATTCTATGAAATTTTAATAAGTTATAATGTGTAAGCAAAATTTATGAAGTGTGAATATGGGATTTTTTTTTGTAACATTCGTATTTTCCATCCTACAGTAAATAAATGGCTATTCATTTGGAAGTGTCAGAGATAAGTAACAGGAGGTATTTATTTAAGCATCTCCTCATTTTGCACATGTGCAGACCAATGATTGCTATTTAGTATTTATAAGCCTAGGGATCTCTTACCGTGTTAATGCAGTTGTAGTTCCCATAAATTTGTATCTTTAATACTCAGAACATTTGTATGTTTTGGTGAACACAGTGGTAATGTAATGTGGAAGACAGTACAGTCCCATTGCTTTATCCTTGACTAAGTGCTGTGATTCTTTGTAAGGCTTTCAGCAAACCATCCCTCTTCCTCTGTGGTTGGTAGTCTTTCACAGTGGTCCCCGGAAGAAAGGTGCCACACATCATCTGTGTATTTCTCATTGTTCTGAGAATATTCTCAGAGGTCTTACCCACATCTTTAGAGCAGCTGGTTGAAAACTGTGCTTCCCTTTTATCAGACCTTCACTCCTTTATATAACATGTGATAGGAGAGGATAATTAGCACATAGGATATAACACTGTCCAAAGATTAGAGTTTGTGACTTCTAGTTTTACTTCGGGTCCAGGGATTATCTCGGTAATTTACACATAGATATCTGTTTGCACTTCACAGGGACTCTCAAAAGCTGTAATGGTTCTGGCTGCTACTTGGCTGTCCTGTAAAGACATGCATAAGGAAATATTTTTTCACATTGAAAATATGTGAAGGTTGTTCCCTTTCTGTCCTGAGAGTGGTGCATGTCATTCTGAAAGAAGAACGACAGAAGGTGAAAATCTAAGTTTGCTTTTTATTTCATGTAAAGTGAATTCCATGAATGTTGTCCTTGCAATCTCCCAAGAGTGTCTCTAAGCATTCAGACTCCTCTTTAAAGGTGGATAATGTTGCCAAGGAACTTTGATATTGTTGATGAATGATTCTACATAAGGATGAATAATTGATTTATTGTCTGCAGTGTGAGATTGAAATTTGTAAGAATGGAGTATCTATGGACTTTTATAGACTGTTATTTGTATCCATAGTTTTCTGCTGGCCACTTCTAAAAGAGAACAGCTGATGATATGGAGGGAAAAGGAAAGATAATGTAACTTGGAAATTCTTAAGCATTGTGGAGCTGGAAACTGGTGAGACATCATCAGTCACTTGACCTTCAAGTGAGCAATGGAGGTGTTTGTCCAATAAAATAAAAGCTCTTTGGAAGAGCTCCAGAAGGAAGATGAGTGGGTCAATTTACTGCTTGGCTCCTGTCTGTCTCTGCTATGTTTCTTCATTCTCCACAGCTCCTAATGACACTAGCCAGGCTCAGACAGAGAAAAGAGTCTCTCTTTCTTGTCTGAAATTGCATATCTAATTCAATGTTATCCCATTAGATCTGAATTCTGCCTTAGTGATGGCCATTTTATAATCCTTTAATCAAAAATGAGAAAAACCCCACAGTAAGCACACAGTTATTTCCATTGAGCCAGAAAGTGATAGATATTACCATCATTTATCATTGTGGTTATGTCTCATTAAGAAAGTTTTATGTTTTTACACTTTTCTTTCTCTTTCCTTTTTATTCTATATTGGTGCATGAAGAGAGGTAAAGGGGCACTTTTTAAAAAAATACATAGTTTGTAGGCAATTTGAATCTTACCTAATTAGTACAAATATTTTTCTGCACAAAATAGGATTTAAAGTATGAAAGATAACCAAAATGAATTGCAAGTGCTTCTGAAATTGGACTGTTTACAATCAATGGTGTAATCCACACATTGTAGTTTACACAATTCAGGTAAGTGTTTGCAAGATATTAATTGGGACTTATTTGAAAACATTGACTTAAATTTTTAAGACATTTATAATATTTTGGAAAATCGTTGTTTTTTAACTCCCTCTAGTAACTAAGCACCTTGAACCACTTGCTCATCATCCTCCTGTAGGGAGGAGAATTGATCAGTAGTCTGAGATAAAAAGTCTAAACATTGAAACAAAGCAAAATATAAAATTACACTAATAATAGTAATTATAGTACCTATAATAATAATACTAACTGTAAAGAAAAGGAGTAAGAGACAGTAATTAAACCAAAGAAAATAAAATTGATACACAATATAATTGGTCACTGCCTACTGATCAATGGCCAGCCTGTCCCCCAGTAGAAATTGGCATCTCTCAACCAAGCTGCCCCAGGCTGTATACTGGCCACAACATTCTGTAGTATGGAATATCCTTTTGGCCACTTCAGGTCAGCTGTCCTTGCCACGGTCCCTCACAGCTTCTTATCCAACTCTTCCCTAGCAGAGTCTGGATAGCTGAAAAGCCCTGGACTTAGAGTTAGCAACTGCAAAAACATCAGTCTGTTATAAATATTCTTCTCATACTGAATCCAAAACACAGCACTGTACCAGCTATGAAGAAGAAAATTAACTCTGTACCACAGGAGACCAGAAAGTACACCAAGGAATTTTATGAGCCACAAGCAATTGACAAACAGAAATATGGATGACATCCATTAAATCAGTTATTATCACTCATACACACCTAATAAGAGTAATGATAATATGATGTTTTCAAGTGTATTCATGTGTTGGAAGCAGATTCTTCTGTCTTTAACCTTTTCTTCAATACAGTTGTCTTTAGTAATGAGATCATTGGAAGGAGATAAAAACACTTCTCTGCTTTTAAGAGGAATATAAGGAAAAGATCTTTGGAGAATGTATTTCCCAAGAGTAGAACATAAAAATATAGACAAGGGAAGGATCCTGAACCAACTTCCATTATTTCATAGCTAAGTGAATGTACCTTACTTTAAAAAAAATGGAAATATAGAATGGAACATCAGTAATAACTGTCTTTACAAATTCCTCTTCTGACCACTAAAACACTTCAGTGTACATTCTGAGTTCATAAACACTTTTCCCATAGGTTATTTTTGGTGTGGTTGGTTCCACAGAGGAACCACAGAACATGCATGCCTGTTCTGGAAATGCCTTGTAGACATATCTGTCCAGAAAAAGTATCCTTGCCATCTAGAATGCTGGGAAGTGTCCTTCATTCTCATAAAACTAATTTCCCAACAAGCTAATTACTGGAGTAAGAATTTCTCAAGACAGTTATTACATCAATGCACATGTGGGAATAAGAGTTTTGTTGGAGAAAGGGCAGGATAAAGACAAAATAAAGCTGAAGCATGCAATTAAAACAAAATTTCTTTCATCTATGGATTACTCTTACTTTTTCTTGATGTTGCACCACATCAGGTGCTAACCAATGCTACAAAAATACTACATTTTCCTGGTCTCCTACTAAGATTAGATATTCCTAGTTTCAAAAAGGTGAAATGAAACTGAATAAAGTACTGCATTTCAGTTGCAGCTCTCCAATAATATCTATCAGATGTACAGCTTGTCCAGCCTAAAGGTTCTGTAGTGTGATTTATACACATGCTAAAATACTGAGCAAGCTTAACAGGTATGCTCTGGTTACCTTGCAGCACAACAGAAGCCATTATGCTAGTATTATGCAAGTATTAACTTGCTTACTCTGTAGTTTTGCATTACCCTTTCTAAATACTTTGCATTATCAGATCAGGGTAGATGTAAATTTAATTGAAAATGGGGAGCTGAGTAGCTGCTACTACCTAATGGGTCAGTGAAGTGTGCAGACAGAGTTCTTGCATTTCTGACTGCAAAAGTAGGTGGAGATAAAGGTTTTGACATCCTACAGAGCATGCACATTGGCTCTGCTGAGCAGGTATGAGCTCTGTCTCTTGTTCTTCAGCATCCCTGGTATATCAGCATGCTTTATTTCAGGACCACAAAGAGCATGACCCCTGCTGGGAAAAGTCAGTATCCATGTTTCTCTGCAGAAACACCCATGTGCCATATGCCAGGGGCTCAGGGGGGCCAGCCTCAACCAATTGGTTCTATGCCTCTGGCTGGCTGGACTGTTAAATTCCTAGCAATCATAGAGGAAAGCAGTGAATTGGTAGCAATATTATGGGCAGAGCAAAGCCGCAGGACACTAAGCAAAAACTGTGTTAATTTCTAGTCTATAATTTATCTTGCTTATTTCCATGTGATATCAAAGGTGGTATCCAGATAGTTTTAATAGATAATTAAGGAAATGGCTTAAGTGTACCAGAACCTGATGTATTGTCAAGCAAATTGCCTTACTAGTCATTATTTTTGCATCCGTTGCTATCTTCTTCCATGCAATGCTGGAACATTTATTTCCACTGAGAAATGCAATTTTACTATAATCAAAATAATGTACTTGTCCACTTTGGTGCTCAAAGCAATTGGGAAGAAAGCAGAAAACTTCATTATTTCCTTGATTCATTTGAATAAAATCAAAAAGAATTATTTTAATGAAGTGGAAATATGCTTTCTGACTTGGATTTTGCTTTGAATATTGTAGGGAAATGTGTGGCTTAAGTAGGTATGCTGGATTGCATGTTAAGTGCATTACCATATTTTACATAAGGATATAGAGAGCTGCTTGAAAAACTTGACAGGACAATTTTCTAATGCTTCACACAGCAATATCAAAATGCTTCACAAAGTCATGTTGATCCACCAAGAATCCTTTTCAGAAAATTTACAATGATGTTGTAATGTTTCATTTTTATATATCTGCATTGAACCATTTGACAGTCTTAATTTACAAATCATGCATCTGATTCTTATTGTTTTTGTATCCCTAAAAATAAGTAGCATTTCTTAAACTGTGTTAAAAGTAAAACATCCAAAGTGAGTGAACATTTTGTTTAGTTATGAGTTTTTTTCAGGTTCTGTTCAGAATAAAAAAAAAAACATTCATATTAGCACATTTTTAATATATTTTTATCCTTTTTCTGTCTCACTGAATAAAAATAATGGATAATATTGAAATTAAAATAATTCATCATTGCCAAATTAAGGGTTTTAATAAAAATAAATGTCCCATTTCAGTTTTCAGAAAATCTTTCTATTTGCAAGAAGATTTTTGTTTTGGTCTTTTATGGGTTTGCTTTTTAATCTGTGATCATAACATCTTCTTTAGTTTCTATGTCCATATTTTCTGTGAAAAGAGAATTCAATTTTTTGACCAGCACAGTAACCGCTGGTAGTATCTGCTGGACATACGCTTTGCAGATACATAAAAATAGCATTTTTCATTTGTTACCATTTTATTGTTTTGTCCCAAATAACATGTTGCCATGTCAACATCCTGTCAGGTCCAATGGCTACAACTGGGTGCAGCATAACACTGCAATACATGAGGACAAGGTGTAGAGGAAGCGATTAAAATCTGTGTTATTCTGTTTTGAGGCAGCTACCCACAAACTGTTATTTCTGGTAACAAATGTCAGAAGCGCTTACCACCCAGCCAGCTCAGAGATTCGTGGGTGCTCCTTGTTCTCTGTGACTGAAACTAATCTGGGATCATTGTCTGTTTTCACAGTCCTCCTTTCATTTCAGAGGGACAACAACAAATGCCTACATTCAGTGTGTGCCTCCTTGTCCGGAGTGCAGGTGGTGAGCCCAGGCTGTGCTGGGGGAGCTGCCCGTATGCCCTCCCAAGAGGAACTCTGCCGGAGCAGCACAAAGCACCTTGTGAGTGGCTTGGGGAGAAATCTTGCTAGAATAACTTCAAGCAGTGCTTGCCTTCCTTAATTTTGTATAGAAAGCTCACCTTTCCTCAAATACCTTTCCTAGCACTGAAAACTAAAGCAAACTTGCTTTGCAATTTAACACATTCTAACCTCTCAAACCACTGTTAAAGTCACAAATTTTCTGCATTCTCTGATCTGGCCTGCAATATTTTCCATGGTTTGTCTTGCTTTTGGGGTGAATTTAAATAATTGCCTAGTCAGAGTAACCTATTTTAATCATGTATCAGTATGATTTTGGCCCATATAATGCATTCAAAGGAAAAGAGCTCCCTTGTCCTTAGCTCCTAGGAAACCTTTTCTGGTAATTCATATTGACAGCAGTGAGTTGTGACATTTATCGGTGAGGTGAAGCTGACCAGCTGCAGGGCTCCTGACTGATTTACTCAGTCAACAAGCTGCTCATGATTCCAGCCAAGTATTGACTTTTCTTTCCCTTCCCTCCCCTCTAGTTAGAAAGAAAATACAGAGGCACTTTTTATCACTATTTTTTTTTTACCAGTCATATTGAAAGCTAAAATATGAAACACCTACTATATCTTCCCTATAAAATTTAATTTCTTAATGCAAAAGGATTTAAATATGTTTCAAGGAAAGAAAATTAGCATTGAATCTAAAGAAGTTGAAATATAAAATAGACGAGCAGATTTGATCTAACATTATTGGAATCACTTACTTCAATAGCAATGAGCTTCAGTCTCATAAACAACCTGCCTGCAATCCGATGACCTTTGTGATGAAAAAGATAAAAATTCAAACATAGCTCATTTTCACTCTTCAAGTTCAAGAGCAAAAGCAAAATGCTCTGCAAGTATTCTAGGATTTTGTATTTTATGGCTTAGATACCAATAGAAGTCAAGGATAAAGAATTTTCTGTATTTCACTTTTCAAGTCCCTTCTTTTTGGACTAACATGTCTGAGCCACAATCGAACTTAAGGAAAGCATGAGTATTTCTAGAACTGACATTTTCAAGCACCAGTGAATTACTGAATCACTCATTCTTGGCACTGATACATTATATCCATAATTGTTCTGCTTGAGGAGGTGACATTTCCAGAAATGGCAGTTCAGCGTGACAAAGGACACAATGCTGCTGGGAAGATAAGTGAAAGGTGACAAGACCATGCAGCTGCCAAGGAGCAGGAGTTCTTCAGTACCTCAGCACTAGATGTAACCAAGTTCAAATGTAGTCTTGATGGACATTGAAGTAAACCTGCATTGCTAATGCTCTCATCTGATTTCTGTGATATAGACTGTATGGAATTAACACAAAGGCATTACTGAAGCCTTTACACCTGATGAAAGGCATCCAGAGTGACTGCTGAGAACAGCATAGGGAACACGTGGGTAAAACAGGTGAGAAAAAGGGGAGGGCACAGTGGCTCAGAAAAGAACAGTCAGAAGGGGGCTGCTGGTGGATCAGGAAAAAAAGTTGTCACCATTATGACAAGAAATGTGAGACAAATCAAGTGGCCACTGGAACAAATGCACTCACTTTGTGGTGACTGAAATTGAAATATAATTTACTGAAACTTCAATTTTTGTGCTAGAACTATTAAACTAGTTATTGCACTAGGGATCACCACACTCAAAGTAATCCCAAAAGTTAATCCATAGTTATTAAGCACATGCAACTCCATATGTTGCACATACCATCCTGATTGTTATATAAAGCCATAGAAACAAAAAGACCTACACCCAGCCATTCTTTTCTGTGTAAAGACATTATGTATTATGCTCATATATATAATGCAGCTATGTTTAAAGAATGTGTGTATTTCTACAGATGTACTTGGGAAAAGAGCACATTTTCAATCTGTCCTTAGAGCAAGTCCTTTAACAAGAAAATATATTAAGTTGCCTGTTTGAAGTGCTGTGGCTTCTTCAAATGTAACTGTGAAAAACGCCTTTTGTCATTCCTCCCCAGTGCATTATGTTGTGACAAGACAGTCATGTTACATAACGTGATGGGGCTGATACCAAATAGCATGTGAAAGGTTTGATCTCTTCCCCATTTAGTACAACTAGCCAGAGCTGTGAGTGGCTGGACTTTGGAGGGTCTTTTTTCCTCTTTAAAGTGAAGGAAAAAAGGAACACTCTGTTTGAAAGTCCTTTCATAAGAGCTGCCATTAGAAATTTTGCTAATATTTTCTTTACATCTATTAGCTGAAAATCATCTTCATCTTTAAAATATGCACATTATTTCTGGCTCCCTGTTTCCACTGTCTTATCAAGAGCATATTTTTATTAGGGCCTATAAAACAGGCTTTGAGAAACTTATCATGTAATCCTGTATGGCTCACGGCAACACATGGTGAGGTGCATTCTGCACTGTCAGTGACCTACTGGCTTGACCCATTTACTTCTCAGTGCTGACAGCAGCAGGGAAAAAGGAGGAAGGAGGGCACTGAGAAGTCACTAGGAGAGGGAGGGACCAGCAGGGACGTAGGAGGCTGAAAAGCAGGAGTTCTTTGCATCTACCGCCATGTATTTTTGAAACTGTTGCCATTTTAGACTCCCTGAATCTAGTGTGTTGAGAAAGTTTCATCTTTTCAGAAGTATACCGAGGAATTATTTTCCCTGCTATAGATTATACCACCACAATGTAATCCAAAAACTGTGTAATCCAACTGCTCTTAATAGAGTTATCCCAGAGATAGCCCATCAGAGTAATTGCTGGTGGTTGAATGGCCTCAGAAACCAGGCTAACTGGAGATTTACTGTGTAACAAACAGTTTTTTGCAAAGAAGGGTTTGAAAAATTAAACAAACTAGTCTTTCCATTAAAAACTTCCAACCCCTCTGTCTTTCTGAAAAGTAAACCTTCACTGCATTGTACTGACCTGCCTGAAACTCTTTTCATACTCAGAGGTCAGCAGAAGCAGCTGGGAGAATACTGCAGAAGAAGAAAGAAAAAAGTGGAAATTAAAAAATATAAGGAAATATTAATAAAACTTTACAGTCATATCATATTTATATTTAAAAAGTGCATAAACAATCTTCTTTTGATGAATGAGATTGTACAGTGCAGTGATAGTACTTGCAAACTCTCCCAAGAACTTAACCAACCATAATCCAAACCATGGCAGTGCCTTTGATTACATGTTAATACCATCAGTGACACACATTTTTATTCACAGACTTCAACATGAGCAAATAGCAAAAACAGGTTTTAAAAAGTTATCATCAGAGGGAAAATGAAATAACTCCAAACATTCAACTTAATGTCAAATATGTCAGTATGTCAGCTTCCTAACCTGATTGTTTCTAAAATGAGAGATTGTGAACTGACAAGTTAATAGATACATGCTTTCATTATTACACTTTCCACAACTCCAGAAAGTGAGGTCATGTTTACTTTTGTTATCACCAAAACTCGTGAGACAGACTAGAGGATGATATCAAGGCCCTAAAATACACTATTGTAGGAAGACTGGAATTATTTTCCTGTATCAATCCAAGATCTCTTCTAGGGCTTTGTCCTGCTCCTGATAATACTCAAGAGTTAATGAATCACAAGACTGTTAAGAGACATCATGGTCTACGTTTCCAAGTGCTTCAGTAAGATAACATTTATAAATTCTAATTGTTCTAGGGAAGGGGTCTTTACAATGCGCTGTTAAAATCCAATTTTACAATTCTTATAGAGATGCCTTTGCCTGAATTAAGATGAAAATAAGACTATATGTTGAAGTCAATAGTATGGGTTTTATTTAACAATTAATGTGAAGTAGAAAGAGATAGAAAGAAATAGAAAAAAAGAGAGCAGAGAAAGAAACAGTGTCAGAGAGTAAGATTAAAAGAAAAAATTCCACCACCCTTGGATCCAGATGGCATCCTGTCAATCCTTTTCTTCTGGTCTTCTCAGTGGCAGGGATCCCAAGGTTGCTCAAAGCTTCTCACCATTTATACATTTAGCAAAGGAAGGAATCAATGCTCCCCAGCTAACACTTCTCTTTTCCTATCATTTAAATGATTCCCTCGCTTCCAATGCTAATCAGTCCCATGCTCAGTCTTCTTCCTCTTTTGAGTTGAGCCTCACATCTTGAGTCAATGGGCTAATTTTCAGCACAGCTGCTGAGCTGCCTTTCCTTGTGGGTATATTCTTCTCCTCTAGTCTTGTTTAATTGTCTTTAAACCTAAGATAATTGGACAATAGTACCACCTTTATCTTATCTCAAGTCAGGTGTCTTAACTCACATCTAAATTCTTGGAATCCAGGAGGAATATTCAGGGAGTGGGTAGGTAGAGGGAGCAGATCAGCAGTTGCTTCTTTGCACTGTTCGCTGCAGTGAGCAAAGTCCTTCTTTGACCTTAACAGCATTTGGGGCAAATAAATCTTTTACACATGTGCTAACAATTCTTGAGATTTTCAACAGTGTAATTGCATAGTGCAATGTCTAATTTATTGCTCATCTGTGATATCCGCACTGTTCTCCTTCAGCAGTCCCACCTGTACCTCACTCCTACCTCAGTTTACTGATGATTCAAATTATGATGAATGCATATGTCTGCTTTAAAGACAGGCCATCTAAAAAATGTAAGCCTCTACTCTCTTTTAGTATTCTGTCTGGGAATAGTGCATTTAGCTCTCTGGTAAAACCCTTTTCAAAATGTGCTCAACATTATGTAAGTCTTACTCCCAGACTGAAGACTAGGAGCCAGTACTAGTCCTGTCTCCATGGCTTTCCAAGTGTTTTGAGGATTTAGTCTATTTGTTAAGTCTATAAGGATCCATTCATTATCCAAGTAGTATAAAGTAGCTTAACAGTGAAATCAAACTGCGAATTAATGGTAATCATGACATATAAGCATTGTCTACATAGCCTAGAGACAGAGAGAACGCAGGTTTATAAATTGTGTTTGTTAAGTATGTAAATATTGTAAAATCATGCATATTCTCTGTGTGTATCAGATCATTCAGTAAATAGAAAAATTTCCCATTTGGACAGTGACAAATGAAAAGCTGCATCTAGTGAAGAGAAACTGGAAAGGACCAAAATTCTTTGTAAATTCAAATGATCTGGAGGTTCAAACAGCCTTGAGTTTCCCTAATGTCTTTGGCTGAAGATTAACTAATGGTCAAATGTGTACCTATTTGGAAGCTGTGTATTTATTCAGAATATTAACTGAGTCTTAAGACAGGAAGAATAAAGAGTGACTTCATTCAAAAATAATAAACCTCAGCTGTTCAATATTAATATCACTTAACAAAATTAGAATTATAGAGCAGAGCCTTGACTGATTGTGAAGTGAATGAATTACATGGCCAAAACGGAGTTCCAAAGCAGGACGCTGGAGAGGATTACTGAGTTAAAGTGTAAATATTGCAAAGAGAAACAATTACATGGTAGTGTCTCCCAGAAATTATAATTTATGGCTTTGATTCAATTAAAATAATTTCAGAGCATTCTAAAAGCAAAGAAGAGTACTCAAAGCCAGTAAAGCTATGAAAATTGGCTTCACAGATGTCTGGTTTTTTCTGTAAGAAAGGAGCATATCTACAGAAAACTTTCAAAATATCCTCCTGACAAGTCAAAATTTGAAGTTGATAACAAGGTGAAGTTGTTAGTTTGTTCCAGGAGGAGGGCTTGGTAAAACAATCACTCATTAAAACCATTTTTTTCTTAGAGACTCAAATAATACGTTCTTCTGCAGAAAACACATTTTGAAGCTGTGCTTTCTAGGGATAGAGTCATCCATGGCTTCCTGCCCAATATATCACATTTAAGATACTGAACACCAGATTCTGGCCACATTTTTACACCGATAACAAAGTAAATAAAGATGAGGCCTCTGAGATTGCAACCTATTTTGGAGACATAACAAATACTTTGCTGAAAATTTTGCTGAGGTAAATTTACATCATAATAGGATTTCTACTCTCCCTCTCTTCCCAGTTTGTTACATTTATTTTTGCTTACCTTCCCCATCTATAAGAGATTTGCACTTGACTTACCATGTTAGCTTTTGTTATTGTACTTTGGGACTTTCCAGGATGGTTATCAGTAACCAAAGGCAAACTACAATTGCCAGGTTTGTACCATCAATGCTTAAACATTCAGGTTGAATAAAGAAAAGATTCTTATGTCTGTAAGTGTATTGTTCACATTGCTATAGAAGACATCCCACATATGATACTTATCTGCCATGATGCCAGAAGAGCACTGTGTCATTCAGCTGCTCACACCTCACTTTAACTATTGAATCAGGTGCAAGGCAGGTTGCCATTTATAGTGTTTAATATGTTTCCTGTAAATGTGCAGGAAATATTTGTTTGAAGTTCTGAAGGAAGTAGTACTGATGTTCACAGAGATACAACAAACTACTTGATGAAAGAAATCATTTTCAAGAAAGAGTCCTATGGGAGAAACAGAGCCTGTTTATTTACACAAAGATCAAAGCAACTTTCATATGAATTTATGCTAAATATTTAGTACTTGAATGACTAGTAAAGAACCCTCTAAACTTCTAAAGGAAAGAATAAAAATAGGAGATAAATCCTGATATATAAATATATACATAGGCTCTCTGTTGGCAAAATCTGTTCTTATTATTTGCATTACAGTACTGTCTAGGGTCCAGCTTGAGATCAGACCTACTCTATCATACTGTATGTAAAGACTTAGCAAAATACAGTCTTTTTTCTGACAAGCTTACCATGAAAACAGGCGAAGTTCAGGAAGGAGGACAAGTTCTGATTAAATTTCTGTGAATTTCCCTTATAACTTCAAAAATATGTGCATCAAATTAAATTAAATGAAATTGTCATTAAATTACTCCAAGCAATGGAAATTGATTAATGTGCATGTCAGTAAAACCAAATACAAAGATCCCATATACTAACTGCTCCTTAGGTTTTCTATCTATATACTATTTTCTTCAGCATCCAAATCAAGTTTAATTACAAAAATCAAAACCAGAGTTGAGTTTTCTTTACACAGCTACAGAGGATATTCAGACACAGACTTCTCAAGCACAAAAATTGGATGAAAAATGAGTACTGCAGGAATAGACACCCATCCACCAAAGAAAACCATCTCTATGGGTTGCCAGGAGCCTCAGCCTTACCCAAAATAGCTGTCTCTAGCTGGCAGAAATCTGTCTCCCTCCTTAAAGGTGAATCCTGAGGTTTCAGGAGGAGCTGTGCCAAAACTGATTAATATATCTGAGTGCCAAAATTTCTGCAGCTAGGGAGGGAGCAGGCTACAAAATAGGTCAGTGACATATATTTCTCAGTTTACCACCTTCTTTCCAGTCTCTAGTTGCAGATCCCTAACCCTGCAAGACCTTCCTCTAGAAATCAGCACAGTACTAACGCACATCTGTGACTCTGGGACCATGGTTAATCTGGAGCTAGGCTAAATTCACACTTCCTCAAATCAGAAAAGGTTTGTCCTCCTATGTGTAATGCACTACTTTCCACTGTATGGTCCTGAATAGTCCTCATTTCTGCCATACTTTTCCTAATGGCACATTAAGTAGGCTGTCACATGTGCTTTGTTCTCTCTCTTTTTCTTACTACAACCAATATAAAATAATTATATATAAAGAGTAGGAAGTGCAGGGTTCTTGGCTGAAAGGAGTAAATAAAGTAAAAAATTTACAACAACCTGTAACAGACATTTATGAAAAAATATTTTTTGTTTTCTATTCCTTCACATATTCAAAGTAGATACTCCAAGTTACAGTCACTGGTACGGTGTTCATTAGTCTTTCTCCTCAAAGAGGAATTCTGACTTTTAAGCTTAAATTGTGAAGATTTTTCTCTCAGTGTGAAGGTTTATAATAAACATGCTATAATACAAATTAGACTGCCTCAAACAACAACAACAACAAAAAAGGACCATTCCTTAAATTCCTAAAAATAGGAAAACAGTAAAAAATTAAAACAAAATCTACTGTGTAGTAAACAAAATCTACTGCCTTGTGGACAATTTCAGACACTGAACTATACTGAGCTCAGGAGAATTGACTCCCTTCTTTTCAGTCCCTAATGGAGGTCATGTGTTCCTTGGTTCTTGCAGCTACAGATTTGTGAAGTGTCTGCATCATTCTCTGTGAGACCTCAGATGGACTCCTTTGCCTGTCATGGCACAGATGGTCCCTGTTGGTTACTTGACTGCTTAAGTCTAAAAATGTCTGGGCCCTAAAGTTCTAGTCTGGCCTCCTTGCCATAGGCAGAAACACAAAGAATTTTCCATACCTTCCCATGAGAGCTCAGATTCATTGATGCTATTTTCAGAAAGATTTCCTTGAAATTAATCTATTTTTCCTCTTTTCAATTTTGTCTTTTTTTTTTTTTTTTTTTTTTTTTTTTATTTTTTTTTTTTTTTTTTTTTTTTTAAAGTTTTTTTTTAATCAGAAATCCAGTTGCAANTTTTTTTTTTTTTTTTTTTTTTTGTTGGATAACACTGCACTTTCTGTAACCTAGTGTAAAGTTTTTTTTTAATCAGAAATCCAGTTGCAAATATTAGAGCTGCTTAGAACCTTTCAAAATTTATCCTTTTTTTGCTTTTTTAATAGCAGTTTATTGGTACCAAAATGCTTCACAAAATTTTATAGAGTTCAACATCAGTTTTGATGGCATATTTTTTGAGGTCATGGATGAGATCTGTGGCAACCCTAAAAAGACATATATAGACAGAAAGAAATATGAGAAAATTAATTTTTCACTACACAAATGCATGTACTTTTTTGGAAGAATATTTATTATTATTCATGTTTTAAACCCAAATTACAATAAAACCTTTAACTGATACAATAAAACCATATTTTCAGTTCTCAGTCAACCATTATATGTGTGTGTTAGAACAATGTAATTATGTCTTCAATTTGTTTTTCATCAGAAATACATACCTAACAGGATATTAATGGTCTGTCTCCTCTGGGTTTAAAACAATTCAATATTTTCATTAATGATCTAAAAGGAACAGAGAGCAGGCTTATTAAGTTAACAGATACCATTTCCTTGAAGGGACCAAAACAATGTTAGAGGACAAGGACAGAATTCAAGATGATCTTAAAAAATCAGAGATATGGACAGAATATAATACAAGATTTAGTAGGGGTAAAAGCAAGATCCCATACTTAGTCATGGTTAATTCGCTACATAAATATAGGATGAGGAATAACACTCTATAGATAGTTCTATGAAAAAATAAATGAATGATGGTAAAGGATCACAAAGTGAACATGAATCAACAGTGTCATGCTGTTGTGAAAAAGGCAAATGCCTCAGAATCTATACAGCCGGATGTATAAGAAAGACTGTGACTGGAAGGAAATGTGAAGTAATCCTTCTGCTTTGTTCAATGTTTTATTCAATGCTATGACCTTAGACAGAATATTGTGTCTAGTCCTGGGCAGTATACTTCAATAAACTCATAGATCAATGCAGAGAGTCAAGCAAAAAAAAAAAAAATGGCCTATGGACAAAGACTAAAGGAAATGAGTAGTTTAATTCAGAGTAGAGAAGACCAAAGAATGGTATTTGCTTTAAATTACAGTTAAACAAACAAAAGGGATGAGACAATTTCTTAAAATTCTTTTCTTGTCCTGGGATTTCATGATTACTGGCTGCTAAAGTCTTGTGGACTATAGTCAGACACCAGCCAGAAACAGAGGCATCTTTAAATTTCTCAAATTCTTGTTATAGGAAGTTGGAGAGAGAAAAGAGAGTAGCCGAGTCAGAAAAATACATCATCATTAAGTAGCAACAAAGACTCTGTGTAATTCACTGGGTAAGAACTTAAAGTCCACTTGTACCATGCCATCTATAACTTATTTACACTCCAAAATTCATAGAATTAATTATAGAATGGTTTGGGCTGGAAAGAACCTTAAAGACCATTGTGTTCCACCTCCCTGCCATGGACAGGGATACCTTTCACTAGACCAAGTTGCTTAGACTTCCATACAACCAGGCCTTGAACACATCAAGAAATGGGACATCCACCACTTCCCCATCATTGCAAAAATGTATTGCAATTTTTAATGATAATTTTGCAATCAAAATAAAAGTAATTCAAGGTGTAGCTTCTATTCAAGTAAAATAGTCAAAGAGATATATTAGATAGTATAGGAATTTAAATTTCTGTGTCTGTAAAATAATTACTTGGGGTATTTTTGGTAAGCATAAAATCAAAGGTAAATATTAGACCCTCTAAAAAAAAGTCTTGAATGATCATCTGTACTTCTTAACACAGATATCTCTATAGAATCCTTAAATCAGCTCTTTATTATACTCCCCAAATGGAAAAAGTGAATTGGTGAGGGAGTTTCAGAATTAAGCACTGGGAAATGTGGTGATAAAAATCACTGCAAATTGTACAGTTTATACAATATAGGTCCTAAATACAGTTAATTTTTACTTCTACAGTGTCTACAGTTTCTCTGAATCCTTAAAGAAACGATATTAATCTTGTTTCATCCTGGAGGAACTGCCTAAAAGAAAGACTGCTGAGAACACAAATCACTGACACAATGTTTGAGATGTTCTATAGAAGCAACATACAGAGACTGCACCATTTATCAAGCTGCACATATTGTTCCTTTGCAAACAACGTTTTTTTCTCCAGCTGCCAAAGTCGTGAGGAAAATCCTTTAGTTCAAGTCATGTGAGTCCCCTGTGAAGGTACTGGACTGGACAGTACTTGCTAGGACTTCCAGACAGCAGAGGACAATGAAGACAACTCAGAATAGCAGGAAGAGCATAAACTGGAAAATCTTGCAAGTTGTGGTCTTTTGTCTCCTCACCCAAGGAGCTACAATGAACTGAAAATGTTGTACCCATAAAGTTCCCTGTTTTTCCTGTCCCCAACTTCATTCCTGAAGTATGCAGACTGAGGACCAATGTTTCTCTTTCTGCTTTGTTGGAAAGAATAGCCTAGGCTTGTGTGTCACTGAGAGATGCCACTGAGACCAAACTAAAAAGGTGTGGGGCTATCTAAATAGGAAAATAATTCCCCAGCTCAGAAAAAAAAAAGTTACTGGCCACCAAAAACTTTGTGACTTGATAAATAGAACACGACACCAGGTAGAAATAACAAGAAAAGAGTTTTCACTTTAGGAAAAAAAATCCTATCAGCCACCCACCATGTACTATAATTTAAAAGCTTTTGAGCAAAAAAGCACTGCTTTACTGCTAAAAGGTTTAAAATGCTGCAGAATGTAGACCAAAAAGTCTTGATTAGCTGTGGCAGATGAGTCAGCAGAGAAACAGTTCACAATGCAGTGCAGCCCTTGCATTTTGACATGTATTGTTAAGGGCTCCCCAAAGTCATTCCAAAGAGGCAAAGAAAGAAGGAAAAAATAAAAAAAGATTTTTAAAAAAGGAAAGTATGGCATAATGAATTCAACCTTGAAAATAACATAAGAGAAAGGATATCAAAATGGAGGGCATAGCATTCTTCATCGTCATAGATTTTGTGGAGATTTTGGAATTAGCATACAAAATTTAGTCTTTCCTGCCACAGGGGATTTCTCACGATGTCTATGTATTGGATTGTCATGATGCACTTCAGGCAGAAACTTACTTTTATAACCAGGAAAGTAGTGTCTTAATATTATGTGCTACAACACAAGCCCTTTTCTATTTTTGAGAGAAAGAAAATGTTACATAAATACAGTAACAGATGTGCAGTAGTGCTGGATGAATACACACTGTGCATCTATCTGTGACTCTACCATCTACAAATCTAAAGAAACAAAAAATAATTGATTGAAGGGCTGGATAAAACATACCCCAGAAACATACTGGTTCTGCAACACTCTTGTACAGTTAGCTGTTTCTCTAAGACCATGATGAAGTTGAGCTCCCAGAGCAGAAGTCAAGAAGGGACAAAGGAAGACATAAAAAAGAGGTTCTGACAGTTCCAGATCCCAAGGTATTTCTAGCAAGAATCAAAATTCTGTCATTAATATTCCAGGTTTCTACAGGACTGAATTCCATGAGCATTCCAATCATAGGAGATTACAGTCTGGTTTAGAAGTGAGATGGCTTTCTTTACTGTCTCAGGGTCTAAAGAGTTCCTGTTAAATGTGAGAATGCAGAAGTTCTCTTGCATTATTTAGCATGGCTGCATGATGAGGAACATTTTACAGTGTCCTCTTGCTGGAATTGCTACACTTCCCAGTGCA